CTTCATGCTGAACAGGGGCGTAGATGTAAAGGGGGGAAGGGAGGATGCTTTATCTCCTTACTGGTGATCTTGGGTTAAAACTGCTTGCCTTCTTGCTCTGTTAGAAGATATTTTCCTGTCATTTGCTCCCCTCTGGACTGCAAAGTGTTTTCCCAGGTGGGTCCAGTGGAGATGGCTGATTGACAAATTAACATTTTAGTCCATAGAATAAAATGGTATTTGGTTCTCTTGAGTCAACTACTACTCATAATGACCCTATTAACAAATACCTCCAAATCTTGCTTTATCCATCTGGCTCTGTGCCTTCCTCATGAACACCACCATGCTTGATCCATGTTAAAAGTCACTGTGTTAATCCAGCTTGTTGAGAGTTATCTTTTTCTCTCCACCTGCCACGGCTTTATTCTTTTGTGAAAAATGATTTCTAAATGTATTTCAAATGTTAAGTTCCAGCTTACATAAGCTGTTTAAAAAGTTTTTACTTTTATTGGTTTGCATATAATAATTCATTTACATTGTACATTTCACTCATGTACATTATGTTTTATACAATCTCTCATTACATTGTATTTCATATACTCACTTATACACATTTAATTTATATAATTACATTTGATTGTGCTAATGCGAAACCTATACTTGGACCAAGAGGCAGTCGTCAGAACAGAGCAAGGAGACACTGGATGGTTCAAAATCAAGAAAGGGGTCTGTCAGGGATGTATTTTGTCTCCATACCCTTTCAATCTGTATGTAGAACAGATCATCCGAGACACTGGGCTGTATGAGGAGGAATGTGGCATCAGGATTGGTGGAAGAATCCTCAACAACCTGTGTTATGCAGATGACAAAACCCTGCTTGCTGAAACTGAGGGGGACCTGAAGCACTGCAGTCTTCAATATGGATTGGAGCTCAGCATCAAGAAAACAAAGATTCTCACCACTGGGCCAATTGGCAGCATCAGCATGGATGGTGAAGAGATTGAGATAGTTAACAGTTTTAGTTTACTTGGTTCCACAGTTAACACTCTTGGTAACAGCAGCCAGGAAATCAGGATATGAATTGCATTGGGAAAGTCAGCTGTGAGGGACCTCTCAAGAGTACTGAAGAGTAACGATGTCAGGCTAGAGGCTAAGGTGCACCTGATCCAGGCTAAAGTCTTTGCAATTACGTGCTATGCATCAGAGAGTTGGACAGTGAATAAGGATGATAGAAAGAGAATTGATGCCTTTGAGCTGTGGTGCTAGAGAAGAGTGTTGAATATACCATGGACTGCTAGGAGAACAAAAAGGTTTGTCCTGGAGAGGATGAAGCGGGAATGCTCCTTGTGGTCAAGGATTCTGAAGCTTCATCTGACAAACTTTGGGCATGATGCAAGGAGGGACTGGTCCTTGGAGAGGGACATCATGTTTGGGAGAGCAGAGGGATGGCACAGGATAGGAAGACCCTCAATGAGATGGATCGATTCTGTGAGTGGGGTGGTGGGAATGAGTGTGTTTGAGATGGCGAGGTTGGCACAGGATAGAACAGCGTTTAGGGCACTTGTACATAGAGTCGATGGCACATAACAACAACAACTGATCTGTGCCTGTTATTACACCATATTTTTGAGTCCTCATTGAATCATTCCTGTTTGTTCATACACCCTCCCCCCCATTTACCCACTAAATTCTGTTATCCTAGTAATTTCTGCTCTTTCCCCTCTTTAAAACTGCCTCCACCCCCTTTTGTACATTTATACACTAGTTCTATTTTTATAATAATGGTCTTATACAGTATTTGTCCTGATGCGACTGAGTTCATTCAGTATAATGCTCTCTAGACTCTCCCATGTTATATGGTATTTTATGAAATCATTGTTCCTTAGTGCTGCATAGTATTCCACTGTGTGAATGTACCACCGTTTCTCAATCCATTTGTTTGTTTATGGGCATTTGGGCTGTTTCCATTCTATTGTTATTGTGAATAGTACTTTGAACATAGGTATACATATCTCCATCCATGTCTCAGTTTTCATTTCCTTAATGTCTGTTCCTAGCAAGGAAATAGCTAGGTCATATGGGATTTCTATGTTGAGGTTTTGAGCAAACACCAAACCACCTTCCAGAGTGACTGTACCATTTTATAATCTCACCAACAGTGCGTGAGAGTTCCATTGTTTTCATATTCTCTCCACCATCAATTGCCTGCTGTCCTGTTAAACTTTGCTATTGTTACTGTAGTGAAATAGTAACTCATTGTTGTTCTGATTTGCATCTTTCTGATTGCCAGTGAGTGTTAACATTTCTTCATGTATCTTTTGGCCATCTGAACGTCTTCCTTTGTGAAAAGTCTTTTTATGTGTTTTGCCTGTTTTCGTTTTTTTTTTGTTTGTTTGATTTGCCCATTTTCTTATTGGGTTATCAGTCTTTTTTCTTGTGGAGGTCCTGTAGTCGTTTTGAGCCTTAATAATGGAGCTACTACATGTTCTTATTTTATTAAACTTTTTTATTAGTCTAGTGACAAAAGTTTCTAGCTAGAGATTACAGAGTATGGATTACTTTTTATTTTTAGAAGTGTCGTTATCTTTTATAATACTTACAGTGGGAATGAACAGCAAATTATGAGGGGAGAAAATGAATCATTGATTCGGAAAAGCAAGAAATTAGACAATCTTTCACTTCCACTGAGTTTTCTAGGGTCAGGACAGTGACTTAATAATTCTTACATTCCTTTTTATCCTGCTTGATGTAGTGAATAAGCAAAATCAACAGTAAAATCTCATATTTGTGCTTTTACTGTACTATTTTCTCTGTAACTACTACTTCTAGACTTTTTTTTCCGTGAAAAGTGAATGTTTAAAGATCACATTAACTTTTTCAGAAATCATTCATAGGCATTAATTACCATTGATTGTTGCAGTTTACTTTTCATTGTGTTAATGCAAACCTTTATTGTATATCTTCACACACATTCTCTGGTTTTTTTAAGGTCCCCCCCTTTTCTTCCTTCTCTTCTACTCCATTTAATCTGTAGTGTAGATCCTGTTCCAGAATGTTAATTGTAATATATCTGATTGTGTATTCATTCATTTCAGATTCCACTTCCCTTCATCTCTTCCGGTTCAGGAATTATCTGTCCATTTATTTTCCCTACACTGGTCCCCTTTCTCCTTCCAACACGCACAATAATGCTATTTTTAAAACTGGTTTTATATGGTATTTGTCCTGTTGTTACTGAAATATTTCACTCAGCATAATGTCTTTCATCTATATTATGCAACATTTCTCAAGTTCCTATTTTTTTTATTTTATTTTTATTTTCTGGTGTGTGTATCGTCAGTTGGATCTGACTGGTACAGGAGGAGATTGCCCCTCCTCCAGCAGAGCATCTGGTGTCAAGTTCATATTTTTCATGCTTCATAATACTCCATTGTGTTAATAGACCATAGTTTCTCTGTTTGTGTGTTGATGGGGATTTGGGCTGCTCCCATGTCTTTGCTGTTGTGAATAATGTTGTGGTAAAGCTGAGTATACATACTTTGATACTGTTTGAAGCCCATACTTTTTTTTTCTAATCCACTTTTTAAAAATTTTATTCTGATTTATTTACAAAGTTTGAATACATTGTTTTTTATAAAAGATCCTTTCCATTTCCTTCACCCCACCCACCCATCAAATTGTGCAACCCTGTGATTAACACCCTACCCCCCCATACTCACCCCTCTAGTTCTACCTTCCCTTCCACCTTGGATCCTCACACTCATTCTACAGCAATGGTTTTATACAGTATTTGTCCTTGTGGGACTGAGTTAGTTTGCTCAGCATTATGCTCTCCAGTCCCACCCAAGTTCGGTAGTAATTTACAAAATCATTGCTCTTACGTGTTGCGTAGTATTCCATTGTATGAATGTACCACAACTTCTCAATCTATTCGTTTGTGGTTGGACAGCTGGTCTGTTTCCATGTTCTTGCAATGATGAATAATGCTGCTATAAACATTGGTGTACCAGTTTCCATTTGAGTCTCAGTTCTCATTTTCTTGAAGTATATTCCAAGCAATGGAATAGCTGGGTCATATGGGATTTCTATGTTCAGCTTTTTGAGGTAGCACCAAACTGCCTTCCAGAGTGGGTGTACCTTTGTACAATCCCACCAACAATGTAAAAGAGTTCCTATCTCCCCACATCCATGCCAACATTTATTACTTGCTGTCCTTTTAAATTTTGCCACTGCTAAATGAGATGGTATCTCATTGTGATTTTGATTTGCATCTCTCTTATTGCCAGTGATTTGGAGCATTTTGAAGCCCATACTTTATTTTGAAGGTGTTTTAGTTGTATATTCTTAGCAATCTTTCTATCTGTGAACACTGTCTATGTGATTGAAGTTAATATAATTTGCTCAAATTATTATCCAATGGAGGGTGGAAATTCTTAATCCCAGCCATTAGAAAGATATTTGTGTGCTTTGTTATTTTAAATTGCTAAGTTAAATTTTTGTCTCTTTTTTTTTTCTAGCCATCAAAAATAAGGATTAATTTGGACAATAACATACAGTATGTGTCCATGAGAAGTAAGTTTACTCCTGAATAGATTTTAAGTTTGTTTGGTTTTTTTTTTTTTTAGATTTTAAGTTTTGTGGTTTGGATTTTATATAAGTGGGATGATTTATTCTAAATGTGCATAATTTGATAAGAAACTTAATTGTTTACTTTCTGAATTGAAATGTAAAGTTTCTCATTTTAATATGAATTCCTGAGGTTATGGTTTGATTAATGTATAGAAATGCTAATGCAGCTCTTATGTTTTTGGACATAAATGACATTAGTTACAAGAACAGAGTTCATGTCTTTTGTTCATAGGGTCACTATGTATTCAACTTTTGACTTAGCCACTGCTAAATGAGACTAATGTTGCTGTATTTTGGAGGAACATTCTTCTACTTTTTACATCACTCCTTGTCAGTTTGCTCTACTGAGGTATTCTGGGTTTTCTGTGATGCTGAACCTGTGCCATTGAGGTATCAAATACCATAATGGTTTACCAGTGTGGACAGTGTTTGGTGGAAGAGCTCCCAGTTGTAGGATAGGTTTGGAAGCAGGAGTGACATCCACTCCTTAACCACATGCCTATGAAAGCTATATGAACTTGGAGAAACTTATAGAAAACCATGAGGTCTTTTGTTCATGGAGTTGCTATGAGTCATTCTTGACTCAACAGCAATCAACAATAACAGTCTGTAGTTTAAGGATATTTTCCAAAAATTCCCATGTGAGAAGTTCCATGTGTTCAGCAAAATTTAAAGTGGTTTGCCATGAAAACAATCTTTTGCTCACCTGGGTTCTTGTAACTCCCTTTACTCTTTCCTCCTTGGTCCCTACAGTGGATCAGTGTGTAGGTGTCAGTGAAAGGGTATCAATTGTTCTAGTTTCCCAGAAGAGGAACCTTTATAGTCATCCATCCCACCACTAATAACCCTCCTCATGTGATCCTAATCTAGATCATCTATGCATGTGTCCAAACTAAAATTTTGATGCTAACCATGAATTTTTCCTCAGCCCCTTGCCTAATCATTGCCCAGCTGGACGTCAAGTTTGATCACCTTACCTTTGAAATGTTTCTTCTCTCCAACCAAGTGACTTAAACCTGACTTTTATTGTTTGAGCTTCTTCAGTGCCTGACACTGCATTTCATATTTTGCATATATTATCACACCAATCTCTTTAAATATTGGTGTGGAATAATATGTCTTATTTTGTTGGGAGCCTTGGTAGATCGATGGTTAAACGATTGACTGCCAGCTGAGAGCATGGCACTTCAAGCCCACTGAGTGTCTCCATAAGAGAAAGACCTAGTGACCTTTTGTAAAGGTTGTAGCCTAGGAACCCCTGACTCAGTTCTTCTTTTTCACATGGGCTTGTTAGGGTAAAAAATTTGTTGTGCCTGACAACAACAATCCTCACATTTTATAGATGAACTGAGGGCAGAGAGCTTGATGAACTGAGGGCAGAGAGCTTATGTAACTTGTTCAGCATTGAGATTAAACCCTCAACTTTCCTATTCATCTCTGTTTGCAGTTCCTAGCATGTACTTACTAGAGATCTCCTTGATTTCTCATTCCCATTAAGGTTTTATTTTATGTTTTCAGGTATAACTTTGAATATTTCTTAGTACTTGCTTCAGATTTCCTTATTAATCTGTTCCCGTTGTTGAGTCGATTTCTACTCGTGGCAGCCTTCAATTAGGTTTCCAAGACTTACTGTTCACCTTTCTCTCGCAGAGCAGCTGGTGCGTTGAAACCACTGACCTTTTGGTTAGCCCAGAATGCTACTGATGTTCCTCTCCCTAGACTGTGGAACTCCTGTAACAAAAAGATCCTTTCTGTCATCTCTGTGTGTCCTCCACACTCAATATTTATTAATTGAACACAGTAAGAAAGGTGTTCAGTTAATACTTGTTTCTCTAAAATTTACTGACATGATAGGAATGTGCATGTAATTTATATATACTTTTAAGTTATAATTTCTCATTTTGTAGTTTTCCTAGATTTGTTATAAAATTGTAACTTCCATTTGTGTTTTTTTTTCCTTACCCTTTATATAGTCTTAAATATGGAAATAGATTTCACAGAGAAGGCATTTGTAAAAATAATATATTTATTAAAAATATACTTTTATTCTTAGAGTAACTGCCAGTCATCTATAAGTTGAATATCACATTGCAGAAGTTCTGAAAGAGAGCATTTCTGATTGACAACAGGACAAATTTTTCATTTAAAATGTACTGTCTGGTGTCATAGACACCATATCCTACAACAGAATGACAACTGAGTTATTTTAAAAGTGTTTCTGCCACAAACCAAAACACAAACAACTTTTTTATTATCAAATATTTGTGTCACCAAATTGGAAACTATTTCTTTTAAAAATTACAAAGTTCACTTTTGTAAGGGAGAAGAAGGGAATCTCATACACTGTTTAGAATGGATAGAATCTACAACAGGGATAGCAGTTTAGCCATATATATATCAAGATTACTAAAATGTCCTTGATTCCGCATTCCTACATCTTGGAGTTTAAACTTTTGTAAAGAATACTTACAAATACAAAAAAAAAAAAAAAAAGAATACTTACAAATATCAAGATACATGGAGAGCCCTTGCAGTATTGTGCAAAACTTCAAAACATTGACAGCAATTTGGATTCCAGCATTAGGGTTAATTTAAGAAGTTTTCCATTCAGTTGAATGTTACAAATAGATGTTAGTAATATTGAAATATGTTTTTTATGTCAGGAGGTTCACAATATTGAATGAAACGAACATGTTACAAAATAGCATGATTTGTTTTAAAAACTATATTTACATTCATGTATTTGTATATGTTTGTTTTTATAAGTATAATAGATAAAAATCGTGGGTGAGTTGGGGCATCAAAGAAATTTTTTTAACCTATTCTTGTTAATTTTATATAGGGTAATCAATATTTTGAAAATAGATAGACTACCTTTCCTCAAGTTTATATCCTAATTATTCCCATAGAAAACTAGTTAGAATACTTGTAGAAATTTGATCAGGCCAAGTTATACAGTGATATGTATGTTGTTGTTGTTGTGTACTGTCAAGTTGGAGCCAACCCATAACTGACCCCTGGCAGGTTTTCAGAAGCAGTTAGTCACATGACAGTCTCATCCTTCTACAGAGCAGCTGGTAGATTCAAACGAGGTGCCTTCAGGGTTGCAGCGCAGTTTTTTTATCACTAGGCCACAAGAGCTCCCTGTGACATGTATAGCACATAGAAATAATTTCTTTCCAAAAAGCCATGTCTCTGCCTTTACTTTCGAAGAATTCCTCATCTTGAAGATCAAATGAGAAATTTTATAAGAAATGGAAGCTGATTACATATGTTAGATACTTCATTTCAATCAAAAGTATTTGTTTAAACCAGGAATGTTGTTGTTGTTGTTATGTGCTGTTGAGTTGCTTCTGATTCATAGCAACCCCATGTACAAGAGCCCTAACCCTGCTCTATCCTGTGCCAACGTTATTGTCTCTGACACACCTAGCCCCATTACCTCAACCACTGAATTAATCTCATAGAGGATCTTCCTCTCCTGCACTCTCCCTCCACCCTCCCAAGCATGACATCCCTCTCTGAGGATTGGTGCCTCCTCGCAACATGTTCAAAGTATGTCAGACAGAGCTTGTATGTCAGACAGAATTCTTGTCTCCAAGGAACAGCCTGGTCTCATTCTTGCTAGGATGAACCTGTTGGTTGTCCTAGCAATCCATGATATATTCACTACTCTTCTCCAGCATCACAGCTCAAAGGCATCAGTTCTCCTTCCCTGATTGAGAAATCTGTTTTATAAAAGTATTAACTATAATTTTGTCAGTGTGTGGAAATTTACTTATGTGTCTGTGAAGAAATTGTTTTTTAAAAGTAAAGTTGAAATTAGAAAGTTGAAATGGAAATGTTATTTTAAATTTTACAAATGTGTTTTTGTTTCCCAGAAACTCTAAAAGTGAAGAGACCTCGTTTTGATGTATCACTGGTTTATTTAACTCGAAAATTTATGGATCTTGTCAGATCTGCTCCTGGGGGTATTCTTGACTTAAACAAAGTTGCGACAAAACTAGGAGTACGAAAACGGAGAGTATATGACATCACCAATGTCTTAGATGGGATCGACCTAGTTGAAAAAAAATCTAAGAATCATATTCGCTGGATGTGAGTTGATTTTGAGATTTTCATTGCCCCCACCCTGTTTATATTGAAACAGAGTAGCTAACAATGTTTTTTAGAATTATAAATAAAAGTAACATGATTTCTTGTTAGAAAAGGGTTCTATAAAATTTTCTTGCAGAGTCATAAAGAAAGGGTCTTCTGGTTAGTCTAGGAGATTTTTAAATGTTGCTTTCTCCTGTGTGGTGGATATTGGTGTTAGTAAGAAGTCAATAAAGATTTTTAAATAGTGATTTATGCATAATATTATAATAAACACCCAGAGACCCCCCTCTTTCCACTTCATGCGTTTCTAAATCTGTAGTCCTAAGAGAAGATAGAATCTGCATTCCTAACATTCACCCCAAATGGTGATGATAGTTAAACTATCAATCACACTTTGAAGGCACAGGAAGAGAACATATACTTTAAGGAAGATGGAAAGTTTTATGATGTAGAAAGCAGAAAAATTAGTAGATGTGAATTACCATGTACAGGTAAAAAACTCCAGGCCCATAAGGAAGAGTATGGTGGAAAAAGGACCTTGGGAGATTTTTTAAAATACATATGCGTGTGCACACATACCTTCATATGTGCACACAATAAGAAAACTTGTTATCAGACTTTCTAGGCAAATGAAAATCAGCAAAGATAATAGAGTAATTCTAAATGAGGAGTTCATAAAAGAGATTATTCTAAAATTCTTTTTTCGTTATTAAAAAAATACATATTAAGTTCTAATTTGAACATGTTTGCTAAAGCACAGAAGAGCACTGGTGGCACAGCTACTAACGTCAAGGTGGATGGTTCACACCCACACAAGAAAAAGCCTGACCATCTCACATACAAACTTGAAGCCTGTGAAACTCTGGGGGAGTGGGAGCTCTCTGTCCTGTAGTGTCCCTCCAAAGTGTTAATTACCTTGACGACATGCAGCTGCAGAAGGACGAGTACAAACATGTAGGTTCATACCATATTCTGGAACTCTAGTTGAAATCCAGTTTAAAAGATAGCAATAGAGTAAGAGTTGCGAAAGATAATTTGGTAGAGGCCTTCCCTTTATTCTCCATAACTATTGAAGAAAAAAATTCATATCAGTTGTTATATGGGTAATTTTATACTAGAATAGAAAGAAATAACTGAGAAGACCATATTAAGATTACACTCTCGGGGGAGCTCTGGTGGCCTAGTGGCAAGGAGCTGCAACTACAATCCCAGAGGTGCACGGTTCGAATCCACCAGATGCTCTGCCGGGGAAGGAGGGACAATCTCCTCCTGTGCCAGTCAGATCTGATATGACGGTACACTCACACAAAAATAATAAAAAATTTTTTAAAAAAAGAAAAAGATTACACTCTCTATTTTTCCATATGGAGAAAAAGCTAAGGTGCTAAAAAAATGCAGAAATCAAGTTTGAAGTAGTAGAACTAGAGCTTCGGCTGGGGGTAGTTGGTGCTTCCGTGCCTTTTCTACCACATTAAACTTTCTCTGTTGCTAATTTCAGGGAGCTCTTGTAGTCTAGTGCTAAGGAGCCATGCTGCCAAGCAAAAGACACATAGTTTGAATCCACCAGTTGCTCTATGGGAGAAGGAGTATCAGTCTTCTCTCTTGCTATTTACTGCTTCTGAAAACCTACTGGAAGCCAACCATGAGTAGGTTCTAACTTGATGGCACCTAACAACAGCAACATTATTAATTCTGACTGTTGTTAAGTGCAATTGAGTCAACTATGACTCTTTGTGACCCTTCGAACAATAGATCTGAAACCTGCCCTGTCCTGTACCATCTTCATCGTCTCTGACATGCCTGAGCCCACCACTACAGTCACTGTGTCAGGCCATCTTGTTGAGGATCTCCCTCTTCTTTGCTGACCCTCTACCTTTCTAAGCATAATGTCCTTTTCCAAGGATTGGCCTTTCCTAACAACATGCCCAAAGTATGTGAGTCCAACTTTCACATCTTTGCTTCCATGGACTAACCTGGCTACACCATTTCCATGATGTACTTGTTCTCTTGTCAGTCTGTGGGATAGTCAGTACTCTTCTCCAACACTACAGATCAAAGGCATCAGTTCTTATCTTTATTCATTGTCCAACTTTTCACTGCATATATTTTTGAAAGTACTGAAATCTGCATAAGAGTAGGAACTTTAAATGGAGGGAAAAAACCCACTTTATGTACAAAAACAGTTAATAGTCATCTTGATTAGAGAGCAGAAGTTAAAATACCTTGTCTCTGTCATTCTAGAAAATACTATTATAAGCATTTGGAGAAGTTCCAATAACATTAACTTGTGATTACTTTTTAAAGTGTTTTAAATGTTATTTGTGGTGATTTTTTTTAACTTTTCTTTTTAAGAGGATCTGATCTTAATGATTTTGGAGCTCTCCCCCAGCAAAAGAAGCTACAAGAGGAGCTGTCTGACTTAGCAACAATGGAAGATGCTTTGGATGAATTAATTAAGAATTGTGCACAGCAGTTGTATGACTTAATAGATGACAAAGAAAATGAAAGATATCCTTTACCTATAGCTTTCTTCATGCTTCCCACACAGCTTAAATAGTAGTGTCAGAAGAAATACAGTTAACAGTGCATTAATAAGCAAACTAGATAAAGCCCAGAAAGTAGAAAGGAATAATAAAAGGATTAATGGAAATGAAAGTTCAGTGGAATATATAATTATTTTGTGGATACTGTAATTATTGTTGTAAAACAAATTGTTTATGAATGATTGAATGAAAAACTCATTTGTTGTATAAACTTTCACACAAATCACAAAAAAACCCCCAAATAATAGTAATAGTTTGGAGATTTAATATATACTTATGATAAAATAAAAGATAAACAAGACCTCTAGAAATTAAAATAAGTAAAAATTTATTAGTACAACCTCAGATGTATACAAATAGTATACAAATTACCTTTAGCGTCTTTGTATAAAGTTTTTCTGGATTAAAGTCTCTTTTTTCCAGAAGTTTTTATCGTAATAATAGAGTTTAATGAAATTCTTTGTTACTAAAAAACAGTTTTCAAAATTTTAAGAATTGTTGATGAAATAGTAAGACTTCTGTATAATTTTTTATTAACTACTTCTCTTCCCTTAATTGTAAAGCTTTTTAGTCGCCCAATATAAAGATATTCTAGTATTGTAAGAGATAAATTATCTCCCCGATAAGTAACATTTTGATTAGAGATCCTTGACTGATTTTTACATTAGCATACGTGACATATCAAGATATTCATAGCATTCAAGCTTTCCATGAACAGATTGTTATTGCAGTGAAAGCTCCAGCGGAAACCAGATTGGATGTTCCAGCTCCCAGAGAAGTAGGTACCAAAGCATTTAAAACCATTTTTAAAGACAGGGTCAGGCAGTTGCTTAGACGGTGCTTTAATTAAGCAGCCACAATAGCTTAAGAACCTATGTACACCCTAGTTTTATGTTATGTTTAAGACACACTCTGTTATAACTTCATTGACACCACAAATGAAGTAGTCATTGATATGCCCTGAAGAGAAAAGAACTTTCCTAAGGCCACACAGTCAAATGACAAACTCAGGACTCCTAAATCATTGAGTTAAAATGCCTCTTAGGGGAATCACCAAGTTCCTAAAGGATAAAAAAGAATAAAAAGATAGTGAGATACCGTCAGTGCTCTAAATACTTAACCTACTAACCAGACTGAGAAGAGGAATAGTAAATTAGATGGCTACATTATAAATTTAATTTGAAAAGAAATAGCTTGTGTGAAAATATTCTGGTCCGTTACCAGCTGCTTGGTGCATTCTTTCCCTTGCAACAAAGTTTCTATTGAAAGATAATTGTCATAAGAAGGTCGTTTGGTAAGAATGCCATCCGAGCAAAGAAATGTTTCCATTCTTGGGAGAAGTCATGAACTTCAGACAACATATTAAACTCATTGGCATGTGTAGAGATACACGTATCACGTGTCTTTGCTATAGAGATACACCTGCTACTTCATACTGAAGAACATTCTCACTATCTTTTTATTCCAAGTGAAGCCTCATATTGTTACTCAGTAGTTCATTATCAGTTGATTAGATACTTGCTTTTATCTTAGTCACATGTTTTCTGAATTTTTGTTTGCACCTAGATATATTCCAAGTGTCCTAAATAACATTTGTGTTTAATATGACTCATTTTCACAGATATTTAAACTCATTTTTTTAAGTAACCACTCATTTTTGAACATTTCATAATGACCGACAAACTTTAATATTTCCCCCCCTTGTCCTGCGAGCTTCCTCACACTGTAACTGCCAAATCTTCCTGATCATGCCCAGGCTTGTCTTCAAGGCTGTGCATGTGGGTTCTTTCGTACAGCCATGGGCGACAAGAGACAGCTAAGTAGAAGCAGTAGACTCAAGCATGCTGGTCAAGTAGGTGTGACGAGAGAGCCCAAGGAGAGAGCCGTCTGATGAGCAGCCTGGGCATCTCGTGCAGGAGTTGGCAAACGACCCTCAGGTTAAACCTGCTCTGCTTGTTTTGTAAAAATATTTTCTTGGAACAGAGCCATACACCCATTTGTTTAAATAATTGTCTCTAGCTGCTTTTGTACTTTTGTTGTTGTTTACCATTGAGTCAGAACTGACCCAAAGCGGACCCTCCAGCAAGTTTTCAGAGGTGGTTAATCCTGTGGGTTGCCCATCCTTCTCCTGCAGAGCATCTGGTGGATTTGAACCATGTGCCATCAGGATTGCAGTCACCAGTGCTCCCTTTTGTACTACAGTGGCTAAATTAAATAGTTGTGACAGCATGACCCAAGAAACCAAAAATATTTGCTGTCTCACCCTTTACAATTTTCTCAAACCTCCGACTTAATGAATCTGAAGTTCTCAACTGCCTATCACTGAGCGACATACTAGCTCCACACCCCTCTCAAGCTACTGGTGGATTTGAACTCCCAGAGAGGCACCATCTTTAGGGTAGCAGCGCAACTCCCTTATGACCACCACCAGAGCTCACTTACACCCTTTCTCCCCGTTCTTTTCTGTAAAATAATTGTGCATGACATACCAGTTAAATTAGATGTGAACTGGCAGCCTAGAAGTTAGACACACATGCTTTCTAACCTCCTTGTCTGGTATCAGTCTTATATAAAATCAAGTTGGGTAGGCTGCATCTCTGTGACCTCAACTCTGTTAGGATGAATACCATGAGGTGATCAGCAGGACGGGAGCAGTGATGCCTGCAGTATCTAGTCCAGGCCTAATTACATGAAGGGGAAACAACCATTATGCTGTAGTTGAACCAACTTATAAAAAGGAAAGAAATCATTCACTACAAGCACAGTTCCTTAAAAAGTTATCATAATTTACAGTTGTTTTTAGGTGCCATAGTGTCAGATACAACTCAACAACCCTATGAACACCACATCTGAGCCCTGTTGTATCCTGTGCCTTCTGACACACTCCAAGCCCATTGCTGCAGTCACTGTTCAGTCCACTTGGTTGAGGGTCTTCCTCTCCTTCACCATCCCTCCACCTTTCCAAGCATGATGTTCCTCTCCAAGGAGTAACCCTTCCTAGCAGCATGCCCAAAGGATGTTGAGACAAAGCTTCATCGTCTTTGGCTCCAAAGAGCACTCTGGCTATACCTCTCTAAGACATACCTGTTTGTCCTTTTGGCAGCCCATAGGATATTTATTACTGTTCTCTAACACTGTAGTTCAAAGGCACCAATTTACTTATGATATCTCATAGGGAAAGTTTTCATTAACTCTGAGTAAATAAAAGTAATCTGAAGATGAATTATGTAAATAATAATTAGTAATAGTCCTTTATGTGACTATCTTAACATCTATTTTTAATGTTTTAAATTTGAGATATATTCCTTAAGCCCTGCCTCTGGGAGTTCTTTAAGATGGACAGAAGCATGACCTTTTCCATTAGCTCAGTTCCTCTGTCTCTTTCATTGTTGTCCAGTTGGAATCAACTTATAGCTGGCCCTCTGTGAGTTTCAAGGCTATAATTTAGAAGAGAGGAAACTATCCATTTCCCTGAGAGGGTTCAAACCTCCAGAGAGGTGCACAGACCTTGGGTTAGTGTCACACCACCCCGCAGACATTGTCATCAGCGCTGCCTTGCTACCTCTGTTTTGTTATGTACTGTTAAGTTGGAACTAACTTATAGCTGACCCAGTGAATTTTCAGAGGCAGTAAATTGCACAGGTAGAAATTGACTATCTTTCTCGTGCATGGTAGCTGGTAGATTTGAACTGTGTGCCTTTGGTTTGGCTGTGCAGCTCCTTAACCACTAAACCAGAGCTCCCCAGTACCTCTATAGTAGTCCGGAAATCTTTACACTTTCCTATAATCTGAGAGTGTTATAATTCCCGATAGAAAAATTTCAGAGTATAAATTTGCAAAGTTCCCTGTAACTTTTCCACAACTATAAATAGGGCAGAAAAAAGATCATGATTGTAAATTCTCTTATACATCTTGATGTTTTCCATATATTTTGCTAGGACTCTATCACTGTACATATAAGGAGTACCAATGGACCTATTGATGTTTATTTATGTGAAGTGGAACAGGAAAATGCAAGTAACAAAGTACAGCGAGATGGAGGGACCTCTTCATCTGAAAACAAGTCTAATGAAGGTAAATACCAGTTTTGATACAAGAAAAGTTTATGATTAAATGAATTTTTGTGTGTGTGTGTGTGGAGATACTGGGATGTAGATATAATCTAATGAATGTATTCCCTTTACTATTAGAACATTAAAAATACTGAAAATAATTTTAAAAATAATACAAAGTAATTCTTAATGATTAAATTATTTTTAATTTCAGGCTATTTCTGAAATACAAATTTTAAAATAGACTTTTTTATTATATTAATAAAATGTGGACGAAAGATGGGCAGTCTCCTCCTGTGAAATTAATTGCCTCTGCCAGCCCACTGGAGGATCAGCAGTGGGTCAGTTTTGACTCAACAGTACATACGCAACAACACAGAAAACATTAATAAGATAAATTTTATTGTTTTGGTAACAGTTAAATAGAATTACAGTTGATATTGTGATGGTAATGTCTGTATTCTCTGCCAGATTCTCTCAACTACATATTTCAATTCACTTAATCCTGTGTTCTGTTTTGGTTCTTTTTCTTTAATTAGCCATAAAATTGGGGGTTCATAACCACAGGCCTTTTTTTCTTTTTTGCTATTATGTGTTCTTTTTTTTAAAAAAAAAAAATTATTTTGTGTGTGTGTGTACCATCAAATTGGATCTGACTGGTACTGGAGATTGCCCCTCCTTCTCCAGCAGAGCATCTGGTGGATTCAGACCGTGTACCTCTGGGATTGCAGCGCAGCTTCAGCTATTACGTGTTCTGTAGCCCATCTGCCTTTTGAGTATTTTCTTTCTTGTGTTATTTTGCAGAAGAAAATCCTCCTCAGCAAAGTGAAGGATCACATGAAGTGACTGACTGACTACCAGCTTCATATATTGGGTTCTTATGGAACATTGAACATGGACGAATTATGCATCAGTTTGATTTCAGAGCAATAAGTCATCGATGAATTTCTCATGCCCTGTTGGGAGCAGCATTAACGCCAGTAGTTTACTCTTCGTCGTTGGTAGCATTAAAGCCAGTTATAACTCTGGGTACTTCATTGCTTTAATTTCTGGAGAATGATGGCTGACACATTAAAAAAAGAACTCTTTTTATAATTATGCACTGCTTTTTGTGAGTGAAAGAGATATTTTGCCTACTGAAAACAACTTTATCACAAAATGTATCACTGAAACAGTCAGACATGAAATGGATGTTCCTCCTGGAGACGTTCCTTTTCTTCAAAGATTATGTGTGATAAAACACAAAAGAAATTGCCTTACACTGGTTCATGTTTGCAGTTAAATGTATCTGAATGTGATGTCTCTGTATATATCTGTATAATGTTTAGATTACTTATTAAAAATGTTGTAAATGAAACATTTCAACACTGTACAGCCAAAGCTATATATGAAAAGTAGCAAACAAATTCTCTAATTTCTGTGGTGTTTATAACTTATTAGAATCCTCTGAATGAGGGTTAGTAGAGATTTTTCAAACTTCTACATGTAGAAGTATCAGAAGTATGCTATACATTTAAAATTCATGGATTTAATTAAAGTATCTTAATATTACCAATGGTAAGATTAGAGTCTGATAGTTCTTAATATCAGGCTATCTACAGAGTTCTTTTCCACCAGACTGGTAGCATGCTCTAAGGCTTTAGAGAAATGCTATGAGATGATGGCATAATTTGTTGTGAGACTTTAACTTCAATGATGGTGAAAATAGAAAACTATTTTAAAGCTCTTTACAAGCAGATTTTGAAAGATGTTTCTGTAAATCTGCAACCTTGCTCTTCAATCAAAATGTTTTTACTTATGATAAATTGTATCCTGCCCTGTGTCCTGCTCTCGTCCCACATTTCCAAGCGCTTAGCCATTTCTACCTCATTGGGTGAAGTCATTTACCACTCTGTGCCTCAACTTACTAAGTAGTTCGCCGTTGGACTGTGAGCTCCTTGATGGATTTTGTCGTATTCTTTGTTCAAGCACCTTGCACCATGCCTGGCACATTGAAGGTGCCAAATAAATGTTTGAACAAATCAGTGAGTGAGTGAGTCAATAATACAATTAGGTTATAATGATACTTAGTTGGTCTGTCATACAGGATTTTTGGAAGTGTCAATCAAATTAATACTTTTTTTAAATTTAAACCAAATTTTTATTTTATACTGGTTTACTTACAAAGTTTGTATACATTGTTTTTCACACCAGATCTTTCCCATTTCCTTTACCCACCCCTCCCTCCACCCATCAAATTGGGAAACCCTATGATTAACCACACACCCTCACCCACCCATCCTCACTCCTCTGCTCCCACCTTCCCCCTTTTGGATTATCATACATGTTCTGTAATAATGGTCTTGTACAGTGTTTGTCCTCACGGGACTGAGTTAGTTCATTCAGCATAATGCTTTCCAGTCCCTCCCAAGTTAGGCAGTGATTTATAAAATCATTGCTCCTGCATGCTGAGTAGTATTCCACTGTGTAAATGTACCATGATTTCTCAATCTATTTCATTGTGGTTGAACATTTGGACTGTTTCCGTGTTCTTGTGATGGTGAATAACACTGCTATGAACGTTGATGTACAAGTCTCGGGGAGCCTCGGTTTTCATTCTCTTGCAGTATATCGAAGGAGTAGAATAGCTGGGTCGTATGGAATTTCTTTGTTGAGCTTTCCAAGGAAATGCCAAACTGCCTTCCAGAGTGGTTGTACCATTTTATAATTCCACCAACAGTGTATAAGAGTTCCTATCTCACCACAATCTATTATTTGCTGTGCTGTTAAACTTTGCCACAGGAGTGAGATGGTTTCTCGTAGTTTTGATTTGAATTTCTCTTCTTACCAGTAATTTGGAGCATTTCTTCATGTGTCTGTTGTCCATCCGAATATCTTCCTCTGCGAAAATTTTTTCTGTATCTTTTGCTCATTTTGTAATTGTGTTACCAGTCCTTTTCTTGTGGAGGCCCTCTAGGATTCTGTAACTGTTGGTATGAGACCCTTGCCTGAGATGGTATTGCCAAGTGTTTTTTTCCTCAGTCAGGTTTTCTTTTCACTCTGCTGGAAAAAGTTCTTGAGGTGCACAGCAATTTCATCTTTAGAAGGTCTCATTCATCAATTTTATCCTCTCCAGATTGAGCATTTCTGCCTGTATTGTGCAGTCTCTTTATAGTAATAGGCTGTCTGAGCTTGATCCCAATTTGTCTCTGATGAACTTTATGGTTCCTAGGTCTCTGATCCGTCTTGAATTGATTTTTTTTATTTTATTAATTTTAATGAACATTTACAGAGATTTTGGATTTCCATTCATTCATTGTTGCTTGAATTGATTTTTGTGTATGATGAAATGTGGATTCTGTTTCAGCTTTCTGCCGGTAGTGGTCCAGTTCTGCCAGCACCATTTGTTTAAGAGGTTGTCATTTCCCCATTTGATACATTTTATTTCCTTGTGACTACACATAGCGGGGTCCATTTCTGGGTTTTCAGTTCTGTTCTATTGGTCTATGTTCCTGGCACTGTACTAGTTCCACGCTTAATGTGAGTGTACTAAATGCACTAATCAAGAGAAAGAATAGCAGAGTGGATTTTAAAAAAACAATCTCATCAAAATGTTGCCTACAAGAGACACATCTAAAAAGAGAAAAAAAAAAAGAAAGACTCAAAGGCTGGGGAAAAAATACACCAAGTAAATGGCAATCTCAAAAAAGCAGGAGTGGCAATATAATGTCTGATAAAATAGACTTCAGAATGAAAACCACCATAAAAGGTAAGGAAGGGCATTACATACTGATTAACAACAGATCAAGAAGACAAAACCTTGGTCAACATTTATGCTTCAAATGATAGATCTGTAAAATAAAACAATGGTTAACAGAATTGAAGAAATAAATAGAATCACAATACTGGTAGGAGACTTCAGGCCTTTTGTTCATAGGGTTGCTATGAGTTGTCCTCAACGCATGGCAATAAACAATATGTTTCTAGTGAGGCTCTTGTCTTCCAGCTCACTGACCCTCTGTTCCATCTCTTCAGTTCTTTTTTGTGTTAGAAAAGTATTCTACAGTTCTTTTTGTGTCATTTCAGTGTGTTAGACATTGCTGTCAATTCTAATATTTTGGATTGCATTTTTGTGCTTTTCTGTTATTTCCAGGATTGTGTTGGCTATACCTTCTCTGTCTTCGGATCCCCCCCCCCCATTCACTGCAATACTTTATTCTTACATGAAGCAGTGTTGCTGAGGCCTAATGCTCATGCATGACAGTAGAAAAACCAATTGCATACCAAAACCTTACATAAATTAAGAGGATGAGTACAGTTTACAAGTATAAATGCAAATTGTCTTCCAACTCAAGGCAACACCCACTGTGTTGGGTGGGTGTAGGGGGAAGGCTAAGAAAGGAAAGGAGGCCTTAAGGCTCAGATTTTTCCAACTCCATGAGGAGAGGCCAGCGATCCTCTCAGCCTGCAGCCTCGAGGTCCTGGAGCCATCAGCTCTGCCATCATTGTCTATAGACAATGAGGTCAGTGAGGTAGACCCCCATCCAGCCAATGGCCTTCTCCATGCCAGTGTCATCCCACACTGCAGCCACTGAGTGGCCAGGTCACATAAGCTAATGGTTGAAATCAAAGATATATGCAGGGTATTAGACCTCAGGAAGTGGTAACATGATAGAAGGTTGGATCAGCAACACGGTCTTGCTCTGGTGCTGATTTCAATACATAGGCTTCCAAGGATGATTCAAAGGCATCTTCCCATTTCAGAGGTTAGAATGAGTTCTGAGGGGCGGTCACATTCAGAGGAGCTCCCAGAGCAGGCAGGTATCTGCTGACAGTACACTTAGAAATATGGAATGCTTAATGAATTTTCATGTCGTCCTTGCATAGGTCCATGCTAAATCTCTAATGTGCTGCTGGAGTAAGCACTTGTGATGATTTTTTACATTCTTGAACTTCTTTATACTATCAATTCTTTCTTCCATCTTTTGCATGTTCTTTCGTAGCTCTTCAAGTTGCTCCTTATATTTTTTCTGGATTGCTGTCTCTGGAATATTTGCTCTATTAATGGCTTCCATTGGTTCTTCCGTCATTTGTGTCTTATATAGATGTTCAAATAATGCCACATCAACATACTTCTTCTGGTTCTCTATAGGGTATTTATTGGATCTGCTTTTTTTAGGAGAGGGTTATTTTGTGGTTTTTTTTCATAATGACTGAGATTGCTGCTTTCTTGACATTACATGAGTCTTTTCCTTCCTCCCTCCCTCCTTCTCTCTCTCTCTCTCTCTCAGGTGATACAGACCTCAGGGTGAGGGACTCTAGTGCGGGAGACTCGGGTGGAGGAGTCTCAGGTGGAGATGTCTCAGGTGGAGGTAGCTGAGAGGCTAGGTGGAGACTCTAGCCCAGGAGACTCTGGAGGCAGGGAGGCTGGTGGTGGAATCGGTGCTGGTGGCAGAGCCATGGGGATCACCATGGTCTAAAACACACTGTTGTTGGCAGCTGTGTCTCTGTCACTGGGTGATGATTTGGAGTTCCCGTAGTGCCAGCTGCCAAGTCTTCAGGACTCAGCTCTTCCAGAAGACACTCTGAAATTGTGTCCACTGAAGCACAAAAGCTGTTACGCTGGAATCTTTTTGACCTTTTAATTTGGAGTTCATGTTTGTGGAAAGCTTAGTCTTCAAACTGACATCATTGCTTTTCAGCAATTTGGAGAGGTCCCTGACAGCTGACTTTCCCAATGCAATATATATTTTGATTTCCTGGCTTTATTGTGCCATGGGTATTGATTGTGGATCCAAGCAGGATGAAACAATGGAAGAATGCTTTCTTTCCTTCTGTCGTGATGTTGCCCATTGACCTGTTGGAATTTTCTTTT